CAGTTGCCATGTTATGTGCTCTTATGCATGTTCTGATACAGCTCAAGATAATTCTAAAACTATTCAGGGAAGTTCAATGTAACAAAGTTTTCATCAGTGGTCATCTGAACTCCTGCATTGTTCTTTACACTGAACCACTCCTGTATGAATGAAGGATTACACAGCCGCCCACCCATATTCAGAAAAGTTTAATTTATGTCTCATGAATGTCACTTTTTTAGTATCAATACTTGCTCAATTGAGTAACAATAAGTATCTGATTTCCGATACTTTGGACAATCCCTAACATCTATAAAAGACTATGAGATGAAAACCTATCTTAGTGTTGTTGACAAATGCACTTTAACTGTATCCTCTGGGCTGTGATAAAGCAGGTTGTGTGAGTAATGAAGCTCGTGTTTTGGTCACCAGGAACAACATGGTCTGAGCCACTTGATTAGGAAGCTCAGAGGCATCATTAGAAGCAGTCAGTCAGCCGTGCATATCAGCAGGTTGTGTTTACAAGACTGCAGCCTTTCACTGTTTAAGATGTTGTCATTCAACTACTGGGATGAAAAGGCTTTAGAATATTTGGGATTCATAATTGACTAAACTGGGACTAAATGTTGAGTTGGGCATCTGAACGATAAGACATTTATTATTTTTTAATCTGTCTCAATTTTAGATTTTATTTTATTTTAACCAAAAATTACTTTCAGTATTCTTTTTCTGAACATAATAAACAATTTAGACTTAATCATTGGCATTTACAGGTGCACTATGCCACCTGACTGACCCATGGAGATGCTATAGCTTTGCCTGGAATGGCCTACAGTATATCCCATAGTGAGCTTGTCTCAATGGTGATAAACAGATGATGCTACCAGGCCAAGTTACTGGTTAAATCTGTGGAGTGGTGTGTTTTTCAAGGTATTCACAAGGATTGGCTAGATTGAAAGAGTCCAACATAACATTAATGATTAGAAATGACAGAATCTCTCAGTTTTGAGTAGCTACACAGCCCTATCTTTCAGACAAGGACAAGATAGTATGTAAAACAATGTAAACAAACATACTAGATATGCCATGTGCTAGATCATGTGCTATATGCCTTCTTATAACTCCTATAACTTCTTATAACTCGTATAACTTCTATATTTCCCCATGCAAACAAATATAATTTTCCTTTTGGAAGTCTTGTACTAGATTAGCAGTTCATATTTTATTTTCACAAATAATCCAGAATGTGTTTAAAATGTGCACATTGAGCAGAATTCTCTATTAAAACATAAATGGCTTATCTAATGCTCTAAATAGGGTACTTTTCCTCAATCATTCAGTCCTATAGCCGTGCAGTGAGTATCAACTCATAATTCTATAGCAACAGGGTATAACCGGGCAGTTTTTGGTAATATAGTGAACTTGCTGTGATTGTCTGGGGCAACATGACTGATTGGTTGAACCCTGATTGTGTGAAACAAAAGCATAGAAGAGAACTGTGAGCAGTCATGCAGAAAACATGTCCTACTTGGACAGACATGCATCACAGTGTCTCACACTGTCTGAGGACAAATCTAGTGATGAAGTGCATAGTCAAGCATAGTCTGGAAAACATGAAAAAAATTCTATTGCTATTCTATTTTTTGCAACCTTAATTACTTTGTAATTATTACCATATATCTATTTTTGCCCTTTGTTATTTTATTGCAATATGTAAGCTGCTGTGTCCAACAAATTTCCTTTGTGAATCAGTAAAGTTAGTCTAAGCCTTTTCTTCCACGTCATTATGAGAGATCTGTGTATAGGGCGTTAAAGAAACAGACTTAAACTGTACAAAGTCAGCTGATGTCATTTCCTGAGTAACTGCTTCTTTATAAATAGCACTTTAAAAAGCAGCCTCCTGTGTGTCATTTACTAGGGCTGGCCTCAGTTGCATTAGTACACAGAGGTTACCATGGCAATGCTGTGGATTTCAACTGCATTTGGGATTTTTAGGGTGACTCCATGGGTCAAATTTTACCATCAGTGTCAAGACAAACTAGTGGAGCCCTGACTAGTATTCAGTTACACAGAACTTACTATGACATAAGCCTGCACTACAATGAGCCCATTAATGCTATAATCTGCAAAAGTAGTAAGTGAGATAAATAGGCTCTGGTTAAACACTCTTAAAAGCACACAAAATGAAAAGTGTATTTAATAGACTTACATAAATTTATTTGAAATGCTTTTCCAAATGTACAAAAAAGAACTGCTGCGAACATTTCTCATGGTTTGAAAAGTAAAAAAAAAAATGAAAGGTTTATTTTTAGAGCCCGACCGATATGGATTTTGTTGTGGCCGATATGAAACTAATATAATGGGAGTTGGATCTGCCGATAGCCAATAAAATCGCCAATATATTTAGTGATGTAAAAATTCACTGTAAATCTTGAATTGTTTAAAAAACTTAGATTTGGCTCTAGTGGATTTTAAATTGGGTTTATTTAGGCAACATTTATTGTTATTCTGCCCTCGTTGCTTCATATTTACAGACAGTAGGTCGGACTAATGGCATTCTAAACCAGAACTGAACGAGGACTGAAAAAGAACTAAACCAGGACTAAAACAGATCATGTGTAAAACAGGAACACACCAGAACTGAACCAGCACTGATTGTCGGGACTCGGTCTCTATCTCTCTCCCTCTCTCAAACCCAGATTAGTCCTGGTTTATTTATTTTATGCTGAACTACAGCCAAATATGCATGTTTTTTTTCTATCCTATGCACACGCATATTTCGCAAGTTTCGTTTTGAGCGGCTGCCGCTGTCAAACTCATGGGTCTGCACGCAGAGTGCAGAGAAAGTGAGAGAAAGAGAAAACACGGCTCCCAATAAGGATCAGGCTCCCGTCGTTCGCTTCAAAGAGCCGACTCTAAGAGCCGCTTCGTTCGCGACCGACTCATCACTACTAACTACTAAAGAAAGTAAGCTACCGCTATTATCCTTTAGCCGTAAATGCTGCGCGCTGCGGTCATTAATTATATGCACAAATGTCTTAATTCACACCTCTATTCACAGCTCATTTACATATCAATCCAGGTCCAGTAACAAATATACGGCCAATGTAATCAATTTACAATAGACCAATAGAAAACAGCCTGTTTATGTGTGGGAGCTACAGCAGCTAACCTATAAGAAAATTACCAAAACGAGCTTCAAAGTCGACATATTTCCAACACTCACCGCTCACACAGGCTCCTCTCACATCACAAGTCTGCACTAATAAATGTCCTTTTAATCCAGACTCAAACCGATTGTCCGTGAAAAGAAAATAATCTCAGTGTTTGGATCTATGTCTGCGAGTGTAAACAAACACACGTGAGTGACGGAACTCTGTGGTGTGTTCAGGGACAGTACGGACACACAGACAGACAAATTACACCACAGATAAATACTGATGTGGAGCCACATATTAGTCAATTTATCTGTCTGTAAATTGGATTAAGTGAACATAATGTAGAGAGTTTAAGCTTTATAACAAGATATAACATGACCGTGAAAATATCGGCCCCTATCAGCAACCATATCGGCCGATAGCCGATATGCCCCCAGGTGCTCATATTGGCAGCCGATATATCGGGCGGGCTCTATTTATTTTTCTAACTTATTGCCCATTGGATGATTTTGAACCATTTAGAGTGGGATGTTCATACTTTTTTCACAGAGTGTCTGTCAGCTATTCACAATTGACAGTGGAGTTCAATAGACAGGTAGTCAATACAGAAATTTAACAAAGATAAGTCAGTTTTGATCTTTAGTAAGGTTTGGAACATGAATTTAGGTCAGTGGGGTTTTTGAGGTTATAGTTGTACAATTGCATAAATCTACAATACAGGATCTGATCATTGGGCCAACTCAGCAGGAGAGATGGGAGGCTCTGTGTTGAAATGTCAAAGTCTGTGTGTACTCAGACAACTGTCAGTTAGACAAAGTTGTTTATTAATTATTCATTAAAGTAAATCGAAGAGATGTCTGTGAGCAAACAAGGTAGATGTAGATTGTATGTGTGCCTGAAATGGCATCAAACCAGTGTTCTGTGCTCATTCAGGAAGGAGATTATTTATTACTGGTGTTTGTTTTGAATTGCTTAAGTTGCTGAGGACTCCGCTGCAGACTGTAGGAGAAGCGCTGCTGCTTTTATAGTATAGTATAGTATAGTATAGTACTTTTATAGTAATGTTCTTTTGTAGTACTGGTCACTGTGCCGTGTACTGTACCGTTTACTGACAAGCATTAGGAAGCCCTGTAGTTTCACTTTCTCTAAACACAGTTGGCTTAGTGTTCTATAGGATGTTGTTTAAATATATGCCCACTGACAGAAAAGCATTGTCTGATACCAATTAAAGATTTTTACTGCCTCAAATAGTAAAACTTCACTTAAGGTGTTTGAGGTGTGTTTGCTTCTGTGAGTTGAGAGACTGATGTGAGATGTGATGTGTGTAGACTGGAGCTTAGAAACAGCAGACAAACCTGGACCTGTTATTTATTAATTTTCTTTATAACCCCCCCCCCCCCCCCAAAAAAAAAAACAAACAACAAACAAAAAAAAACAAAACAAAACAAACAAACAAAAAAAAAAAAACATTTGGGTTTGGAGTGGTTTTCCATTTTCTTTAAATGTCTCCCGTGCTTTCTCCAGTCATTTTGGGTGTGCTGGTTTTTGCCCTGAAGGCTTCTTGGGTATTTCTTGCTGTATGCTTGGTGTATGCTTGGTGTATGCTGCCATCTTCAGGTTGAGGGATAGTAATGCCCTTTTTAATAACTTAAAAGTTCCAACTCGTCTCCAACTATCAAATAGAAACACCTTCCATATTTTGCCAAAATTTATTTACTGATAATGACTTTATGATAATAACACACATGAAGTAATTTTATTCAAACTTTGAATTAAGTTAATCTAGAAAATGTAGAATTCTAATTGATTCTTTATCTCCTCTCTCCTTTTCTTCTTTTCCCTGTTTTCTCCATCCTTTCACAGACTCTTAAACGGCTGATTCCTGATGAGGTACGATCCTTCTAGACTGTTCATGATGTGTTTAACTTCACTGTGCATGTGCTTCAACCCTTTGTATCATGCATGCTTCTACTTAGGTGTGTCCTGTCTCTCTCACTAACTCTGAATTTCTAATGAAGCTGTTCAAATATTTTGTGGAGTGTCTTTTGTCTTGGGTCTTGACACAAACATATTATTCACACTTATATTATAATGAATGAATCAACAATTCATAAGTTAATTAAAAAAGACTGAGCAACAACATTTTGAATAGTTTGTTATGACGGCACTCCTACCTTTTACGCCTCTTGAATCCCATAGCTGATCTTTCACCTCAGTCTTGACTGTTTCTTGTCAATCAAGTAGCTCAACAAACTACAGTCTAGCACTAAACTTATGAGCTGTTCAATGTCAAATGACTCTGTCCCTGAGAACTCAAGACAAGTTTAAATTTAAATAGTAAAAACCCCACACCTCCATTATACCAGCACCTCTGACCTTTGCACAGTTTGTAACAAACTCATACTTAAAGGCGTGTTCACACATGCACAGACACCACATCGAATTAACTAGAAACCAAACCTGGACGAAACCTGGACGAAACATACACCAAACCAGGAGCAAGCGTGGGCGAAAGCTGGACTCAACCGTGGACTCAACCGTGGACTCAACCGTGGACTCAACCGTGGACTCAACCGTGGACTCAACCGTGGACTCAACCGTACCGTGGACTCAACCATGGACTCAACCTGGACTAACCCTGGACCAAACCTGGACTAACCCTGGACTAACCCTAACTAATCCTTTTACCTCTGATGCAATATCAAGAGTTGTTTGTGTTTGTAAAGAGTGTTTTATTGGGTTACACAGTTGGAGCGGTTTACCAGCATGAGGATGAAGAAGGACAAGGAAAAGCCTGGTCAAATGCCCAGCCAGCGTCACTCGTCTGCTGCCACCTACGAGCTAAGCTCCCAGAGTCCCATGCTGCAGGACCTCCCGGATGAGTATGTGTTGGAGCTCTTCGAACAGATGCTGGTAAGAAATCAGGAGGCCAACTGGACAAAAGCAATGCACTATTGACATGGTGAACTATGTGTGGAATTTTTAGTCATTTATTGTGGCGTATAGTGCCACCTTGTGGTGTATTGCATATAATTTGTACAACTTCTGGTTCAAGTCAAACTGTTTAAGCTACTGCTACACCTGTTCTTTTTGCCATATGTAAAATTCCAAACATGAAACATTTCTATGTCAATTTTGCCATAATTCTTCTGTGCAAACAGCCCATATTTGTTAATCTATAGGTGGATATGAACCTGAATGAGGAGAAGCAGCAGCCTCTTAGAGAGAAGGACATTGTGATTAAACGTGAGATGGTTTCACAATACCTGCACACATCCAAAGCTGTAAGTAAAAAATAATATATGGCAATATTATCTGAAATTTTTGTCCTGTAAAAATACTGGGAAAAAAATGTGTTTCCTCTTGTGTTTGTCAGGGACAAAACCAAAAGGAAAGCTCTAAGTCTGCAGTGATGTACATCCAGGAGCTGCAGGAAGACTACCGTGACCCCCAGCTGCTGCTGAGCTGTCTGGAGTCTCTCAGAGTGTCCCTCAATAACAACCCTGTCAGGTAAGACAAAAGACATGTGTGGAGCAGGCCCAGTGTGAAAGCTCTTCTCTCAGAATTATGGCTCAGCTACTGGAACCAAGCTACTGAATCAGTATGTGTTTAACCTCATGATTTATGGAATGTTTGTCCTTAATAGTTGAGTGTTATAAAAAGTCTATATCCTCAATTTAAAGTTAATGTCTTTGATCAAATCCTGACTTGCAGTTGCCCTGCATTTGCACTCTGAAAGCATATTCACACTAGAGGTACATATCTCACACCACGCCACACATTTGGCCAAAATAGATTTCCCTCTGTTCCAATGTGATTGTTATAAAAGGCACATGGTTTATTTCCAAGAAAGCAGCGGAAACTGTAAAAATGGAGCTTGTAGAGCTTTTAAATACATGCGCAAGTTCTTCACATTTTCAGTTGCTGATGATGACATTCTGATTAATTGACTTGCAGTGTAGAAACTAATGGGCAGATGTGTACTTTGTGTTTTAAGTTCACAACACTGGAGCGCGCCCTTCACTTCTCATTTAGCTTCCTCGGCGCTCTTGTACTCTCACACACATGAGTTTTTAAAAACATACACACAAACATGAATTGGGACACAGCCCGTGTAAAGCATTAGCATTGTTTTTAACACAGTTGCAACTTGCCATGATTAAAAACTGATTTTTCATGATGGCTTATGCTGTGGTCATGTGGTCCTAGAGAACTTTGGAAAATGTTTTTCTGAGTTGAAAAAGGCACATGAACGCTCACACAAGTTGGAAAAAACAGGTCCATGTCTGATATCACCTGGTGTATGAAGACGGATGAAATTCAACTGATTGTTCAATAGATGTTATATATTTATCTCACTAAACATTATATTTATGGGTTTACTGTAGTTTTATATCTGAACTCCAAGTTCCCAAGGACCACATGAATGCAGCATTGGCTGGTTGAATCTTTACATGGATGAGCTCTTGGCCTGATTGTACAAAGAAATTAAAAAATGTTCTTTTGTCTCTTCCAGTTGGGTGCAAACCTTTGGAGATCAGGGTCTAACATTGTTACTAACTCGTCTTCGATTACTCCAAGACGACAAACATGAGTATCCGTAAGCTGTTCAAACCAACAAAAGTACAAAAGTACACCATATAACAATAAGTTGTATGTCCTCATTGTGTTATATGTGCCCCTTTTTAGAATGAGGATGGCGGTAAAATGTCAGCATGAGATAATTCGATGTCTGAAGGCCTTCATGAATAATAAGGTAAAGGACTGGAAATTGCGAACATTAATATTTATTTGAATTCATATGGAACATTACAAAATTGCTGCAGATTGCAAAATAATGTTTTTTTTGTTACCTACCTGAATGAACAATGACTTAATCAAGACTTGAGAAATTCAAGTGAGCTCACATGTTTTAAACTTTTTTCAGCATGTGAAACCTGAAATCCATTTTATTAAAGGTGAATTCTGTTGATGCAAGATGCAAGGATATTACTTTAGCACCATTTATCTTGATTTGAATCCCTTTGAGATGCTGTATTTTCATTTTTTAATCTTTTAGGTTTTTAAGTGAAACCTTTCTTCTGTTTACATTGTATTTAAGCTTTCTGGATGTTTGCCACCTTCTTATGCCTATTGTTTGTCTTTTAGTATGGTTTAAAGTCCATGCTGGAGTCTGGTGAAGGCATACCTCTGCTGGTCAGAGCCATGAACCCTACAGTGCCTCACATGATGGTGGATGCTGTCAAGTTGCTTTCTGCCATTTCTATTTTGGAACAGCCTGAGAATCTGTAAGGAAATAAATATATCATCATGCTGCATAGATGTTTGAGTTTGATGTGAAAATGTTGTGTTTGCCATTTTCAGCCATGAGCGTGTTCTGGAGGCCATAACTGAGGAGGCGGAGAAAAGGGAGGTTGAGCGGTTTCAGCCTTTACTGTCTGGAATGAACAATCACAATATTGCTCTTAAGGTACTCACACAAATTGGTATTTACACTGGTCTTTCTAATTAGACATCACAGCATTCATTTATACAACACAAGATTATAAGATATTGGCTTCACTACACTGCTTTGGTGCTTTTCGTCTGATTCTTAGTGAGCCAAACCAATAATGAAACATGGCCACAAGACTAGTTCTCTAACACCCTATTAGTAATATTTAAAAGCAGTCACCTCTTATAATGTTGTACCAATGGTTGTAAGCTGCACAGTGGACGATAATGTGCATTGACATTATTATCTTACCCGCCCGCATACATATTGCCCTTTTGTCATTGCATCTTCCACTGCTGTTATAAGTAAGTGCGTCATGCTGTGCAGTCTTCAGGATGGACTAACAGCAAAGGACCTTATGATGTCTGTGATGACTGTCATTTATGTCTAATTAACAGTGCAGTTGACAGTTTGTTATTGCATAAGGACATAAAGCATGTGTTGATCTTTAAATATTTTTGACGCATGTAGTTTAATTATTTTACTGTTTTGGAAACACTACTTTCATCTTAGTTTATTATGGTCATATTACGATTACATGCTTATATTGATTTTACACAGGGTGGCTGTATGCAACTGATCAATGCTTTGATTAGTCGAGGAGAAGAGTTGGACTTCAGGCTCCACATCCGTTCTGAACTGCTAAGACTAGGACTCAGAGAACAACTTAAGGTTTGTACAGTTCCCATATCATTATAGGCCATATCGCTTATATAAATAAGATGAGAAATTATTCATTTATTACCATCTTCTTTTGTTGTTTAATCTCCAACCATTGTAGGAGATACGGACCATTGAAAATGAGGAGCTGAGGGTACAGCTTACTGTTTTTGAAGATGAAGCTGAAGATGACGCTGAGGACCTCAGAGCACGTCTAGATGACATTCGCATAGAGATGGAATATCCTTTTAATGAAATTTGGAACATAAATTATAAAAAAAAATACACAACATGACTGCCTTCATTTCCTGGGGTCATTTTTCTCTTTAACTTTAGTCCTAATGATGTGAGGGAGGTGTTTGAGATCCTGGTCAACACAGTGAAGGACTCCAAAGCTGAGGGACACTTCCTGTCTGTAATGCAACACCTCCTGTTGGTCCGCAATGACTATTTGGCCAGGTAAAGCCACTCACCTCCCAAATACACTTTCATTTGTTCACTGTACTTAAAAGCAGGGCAGCATAAGATTTCTGGTGGCAGGCTACTACTAGGCTTAAGATGCCGCTTTGTGTCACATTCCAGAAAATGCAATGCAATCTTAAGCAAGTGGCCAACCCTCCAGGCAAGTTAACAAGTTAGCTCTATGGAAAGAAGAGCCTGATCACAGCAAAGATGCATCTTTTTTATAAGGATTTTTTGTGAAATCACAACATCCTTAAAAATGGGCTGAAATCCCACACAGATGTATAACAGATGTATATTGAAAGTGCATTAGTATTCAAGAGAATCGCTTGGTTTGCCCTTCTAGTTTACTCTGTTAATTTACCTCTATATGCATTCGCACTTTTGTCTATTTGCTGTTTGTTTTTCCTTGAGTGCTGTTTCGGAGCTGTGAAATTAATACATGCAGTGAAGTCTAATTCCATTTTAATAGAAATGGGTGCAATCAACTCTTATCAGCAGAAATATGCTAATGCCTCGCTCCTTGTGTCTCAAAGCCCTTGAGGCTTTGCTAGAAAAACAGAAACAGGCAGAAGAGAATTGCTGAATGACAATGTAAAGGTGGAATTATTGCAAGAGAAAAGTGCTCAATATTAACTGTGAATAGTTAAATCTTCTTGAAATTGACTGCCTTCTAATTTAAGGCTATTGATTTTGCTAAAACATTAATTGAGTATATATATTAATTACACATTTTATCCTATCAGCACGACTTTAATTAAATTACAAGTTTTTTTGTATGTGCAATACATTTATTTTTACTATACATGAATTAAAATGTATTTTCCTAGCTTCTTAATGGCTTCTTTACTGTTCTACAGTACCTCGGTTTGGCCACTTGGTGTCTCTCCTGCTCCACGATAAAATTTGACTCCTTCAGAAAAAAAAAAAAAAAAACTCCTCATGTGTAGTGAAGCAGTGAAATAAGTGTTAGACAAAGGCAGAGTGACTAAGAGAAATCAGGGGAGGGAGAGACTGAGACAGAATAAATAAAGTATTGTGACTGTGGCAGCATCTAATGGGGTCAGGGAATAAGACACCTCCAGAATTGACTGTCTGTAAAAGTTGCCTGATCAAACGGGGGCTTTGGACATTCACACACTTTCTCCCTGGCAGCCTCATGCAATCAATCTTTGTGACAAGCAACCAGAGCTGTCATGCTCAAACACACATCCAATTTCAGTTACAGACAAAAGACAGAGACGACACATGCACCTGTATGCTCTGTGCCAGTCACATCCCTGACTCGCTCTCTGTCTCTCCTGATGTTTAGGCAATCAATAATGCTGTGTTTATCTAAATTGCACCTCCTAATTGTAATTGTGAACTGAATACATAAATATGTTGTTTGAGTCTTCAAAATGTGCCTTATTTTTCTAATGTTTTTGCCTCCTTCTCTTTCTTTCAGACCTCAGTATTACAAGTTGATAGATGAGTGTATAGCTCAGATTGTTCTTCAGAAGAATGGAGCAGATCCTGACTTTAAATGCCAAAAACTAAAACTCGAAGTTGAACGTTTAATAGGTGAGAACTTTGATGAATACGCATTTAACTGTGGTTTAAAAAAAAAACCCATTCTAGATAGCTGTTTATTTTGCTAGAAACAATTGTACACCACTAATATTGTTAAGTGTTAAAACTGCATACTGTGGGCTAACTGTGAAGAGAAGTTTGCTTAACTCCACCACAAAAGGGAGCCAAAGAGGAATTCAGACCAACTGCTACAGGTCTAACAAAGGGGCATGATTATGCTTATAACATTTGTGTAAAATAATTTGGCTCTCTTGTTATAAAGAAAATTTAAATTGATTTTGATTAACTTGTATGTTAATTTTCATATCTTGATCATTTAGTTCACACAATCACACAAGAAAACATAGGTTTTCATTTCTAATTTATTTCCTAGTTTTTAGTTAATTTCTAGTATTTATTGGCAAAACCAGAGCCAAAAATCTGTGAATGGGTTATGGGTTTTTATTTTCAGAGCTTGATTGGCAGTTGTGAATGCCAGCAAACAACACCTGCTGACCACAGTGCACTAAAGCACAGCAGAGCAGCCGCCTGAACATGTCTCACGAGTTGACTCCTTGTTTATGACAGGGCTGCGTTGTGCACTGCATGAGGCGCCAATTGCACCATTTCTAAAAGTGTCCTGACATACACAGGCTGGCCTCTTTTATGGCTGCCCAAGTTATTATCAGTGGAAAGCAGCCCAATTCTGCCCTGCATGCATTATTTAGTGTTTTTCTTTGAACTCTAAAAATCAGCACAGTTTTCCCGGCACATTCCGTCTCCCTCAGAGCTTTCTATTCAAAGTTTGTCCCATTTAGCCTACCACCATGGCAGACATAACCCCCATTACACAGCTCATAATTTTCAGAAGTGTTTGTGAGTGACTTATTGAATATTATGATCTTTGAAAAATATAGAAAAAGTAATTATTTAACTATGATTTTGATGAGCTCTGTAGTTCCATAACGTATTTCGCGGCATGTTGGTGGGTTCTATCAGTTTGATTGCCCTCTTGGGTTGTCTTTGATGAAGTGACTGTGGCATTCATCTTGTTGGTAATTAGCTTTTTACAGCTTGAGTTGGAAAAGCCTGTGGATAGTAAACCACTTGTAGACACTCCAATTACGCTGTGAAAGTGCCCCGCTGGTCAGTCCGTTTCCCTTTTACCGTTGATTCTCTCAAGCAGAACCTTTGATAATGAATGACCCCCAAACTTGTTAATTGACTTTGAGAAACTGCTACTACATTTATATGAAGAATTATACTGGCTAAATCACAATATAAAACTAGCAGAAGACACAGAGTAGAACTAATGGATGTCAGTATTGTTTTAATGACTTTTCTTGATGAAATTACATTATTTTTTCACACTCTTTACAGATAACATGGTGAACCAGACTAAGGTGGAAACCAGTGAAGCCAAAGCCACTGAGCTGGAGAAGAAGGTTAAATATGCAATTCCCTATTAGATATACAGATAATACTATGTTATCCCAAAGGAAATTTTTATGGTTGCAGACATTTTGATTTGATAATACTTTGTGTATCTTGCTGACATGCACTAAGAAACGTGCTAATGGTAGCGCTTTATAACACTGCACAGTATTAGAATGATAGTTGGATGTCCTTGGCTGGGTAAAAGAAACGTGTAATTTTGGACATTACTGGGTACTTATTCATGGAAACAGGATATCATTCTACTTGAGTTCATGCTAGCATGATACAACTAAACCAGTGTGAAGGGTATAAATGACCCAGAAACATGGTGTTTTCTTTGTATTAATATGGATACAGGGCAGCATTATCCCTCATTATCCCAGTTACCAGGCCATTTTGCATCCTATTACCATGCCTTTTACTGTGCTGTAAAGTAAAGTGCGACTGAAGCAATCCATCAGCAGACTCACTAAGATGAACACAATAAATAATTTCTGGTGGGACTTAATGTCTTGATGAGGAAGTGGTAAGGACTTGTGCTTTTTATGTGCAAGATAATTGCTGACGGAGCTAAATGAAGCTATGTACTTTAGACTCTCACAAATTCACTTTTTTGTACCATTTCCAACATGCAGTAAATAAAAGAAAACAAGTAAGTACTGTCTATACTCACCCAATACTTTTGTGTGTGTTAGCTGGATGCAGAGTTGACTGCACGACACGAGTTGCAGGTGGAACTGAAAAAGCTGGAAGGAGACTATGAGCAGAAACTGCAGGATTTGAGTCAAGAGAAGGAACAGCTGGCCTCTGTTAAACAGGAGCGAGAAAAAGAGAACCAGGGACTACAGAAGCAACTGAGCTCTCTGGAGCTACAGGTATCTGATCATCACCCTGTGCTTAGCTTTACCCTTTGCTAATGAGTCCCACTCCAACATAGTACAAGTAATATCACAATGAGAAAACCGTCAATCCTTTACACAGACCTTTTATTTGTTACTTTCCTGACCCTAGTTTTGCAGTTGTACAGTCTAGAAAATGCTTGAACATCAGTTATTCATATTGATACATCAAGCCATCCCTAGTTTCCAACAGTCATTACATTCTTTGTTTTTATGAAAAATGCAGCAGAAATATGAAACATTCCACATCTTGTTGAATTTGTAAAAGACATCTTCTCTCCACTAACTACTTCTTTGATTCTGACATCTTGTACAAGTAGGAAGTTTCAAGTTTTTATTAGGTTAGATTCATGTCTAGAGATAGGCCATGCCAAAATCTCAAATGATAGCCATGTCAGCATTAACTCTTTCATTATCCTATACATAGGAATTTCTGGATCAACTTCTAGAACATTGCTTTCCTTTTCAAATGAAGGTTCAGTTTACATTGTGCGATTTTCAGGCAAATAATAGTCACATGAGCTGCGATCAACTGCTCATTGCTAATCTGTTAACTTGAAAATTACATCACAAGGTGAAACAAAATCAAATATGTGAGAATGAAACAAAACACATCTCCATGTATGTTTTTGATGAGGTAATAACATTCTAACATGGCTTAAATTTTGTGTAATATAGGACCTTTAACAATGCCAACAGTTACAACATATTTCTATGATGATTTGGGAGTTAAAACGCACACATATAGAAAGATTGCGGGGTCACAAACGTGTCCACAGGCCCTGCACACAGTCTTCCTCATACATTGTCAGCAGTTTCGGCATATACGACCATTGCTTCGTACAGTGCACACACTCACATCTTGCGCTTTGTATGAGATTCAATCTCACAGTGTGAGTTTGGGAATAATTTGAAACATCTTAAAATCATACAAAATCATACCATGTAAGCCCAATTTAGTGCATAATGGGAGAGGTAATGGATAAACACCATAACTATGCCAAACTACATAGTAATATTAAAATTTCTGTACCTAATGGTATTGTTGATGGTTGACTTTGAACTTTGATGTTAATTTTTGTTACATGCAGGTATTACTAAAGGTACCATTAGACAAACTGCATTTTACTACTTTCATTCCATTCTACCATTGATGTCTTACCAAGTCTCCATCTCAGTTTGAAACAGATGGGGAATATAGATTATAGGTCACAAAATCGAATTAATGGCTATTTCTTCAATAAACACAGTTTAATCAGTCCTGGGACGCTGGCTCATGCCCCCATTTGAGCAGGTGGCATCTTGAATGTGAAAACGGCTAATATAAAGTAGATGAGTTCTCTGATTCTGTGCTCTGTCCACTGAGTGACACGCAGTAGTGAGGGGCCAGTGACCCAGAACACTCTGGCTCTGCATGCGTCCTACCTTTATGTGTATATATACTTTATGCTCAGTGTGTCTGTCACTTGGAGAGCTGGGCTAATTATAAAGTGAGCTTCATCAACTGTGGCTGATGCCAACCGAGCTGTGTGATCATCACACACAGAAAGACTGTCGAAGCTTCACAAGCCAAATGAGCCAATAAGATTTTCATGAAGAATAATCAATTCTGTTCATTGGAGGTTCCTTCACATGTAGAGATCTTTCACACTCATTTTTTTTTTTAGTTTTATGCTGTTTCCAGCTATTTATGCTGCTGCTGTCAGAAGGCTCATTTCAGACCTTTTTTATGTTCAAATAAAGAAACTGCATAAACAAACATCATCTTTAGATGGTCTAACTTACTTTACATTGATAAACTGTATTTTGTGTCTTCAAGCCTAATTGAATTTTCTTCAAATTTATTTCCATGCTGGCAATTATTATTACTGGCTGTGTCATTGGACTTTGAGATCAATCATGAACTGAATTCAGAATTTTAATTATAAAGTATTTTCTTCCCTAAGAAGTTTTTCTTTTTTAACGTTTAAAAATTCTTCATTGAAATTCTATTTGGACATGATTACCCCCTGCCAAGCTTCTCTCTTTGTGCCTCATGCTCCAGTCTCTCCTAAAGGCCTCTCAAACTTCATCTAACTCATTTTAATCTGTCTTATCTCTCTCCATTTGCTCACTGTATTTGATTTTTTTTTGTTAAATCTAATCTCTTGGTTGACGTGTCTACGGTTTAAAAAAAAAATTGTGTTGAAATCACAAATGGGTTTTGGCGACCACAAAAGTTTAATTAGGTTTATAGTCTCCTACATCAAAATTATTTGTACTGTCTGTTAACTTAAAATCATCATTCTTTTTTAGATTGAAAAGCTGCAAAAAGATCTGGAAGAAGCCAAAACTAAAGTTATCACAGTAACTGTACCCGTGACAACACCTGGACTGCCACCTCCACCACCTCTGCCTCCCTCAAGTACTGGAACTGGACCTCCTCCACCTCCTCCTCCAGGCCATGCAGCCATGCCTGTGCCCCCACCTCCTCCACCACCACCACTGCCTGGTATGCCTGGGCCCCCACCTCCTCCACCTCCTCCACCCTTACCTGGCATGACTGGACCCCCACCGCCTCCACCTCCTCCACCATTACCTGGTATGGGACCGCCACCTCCTCCACCCCTTCCTGGTATGGGACCGCCACCTCCTCCACCCCTTCCTGGTATGGGACCTCCACCTCCTCCACCTCCCCCAGGAGGTCCTGGGATGCCTCCTCCTCCTCCGTTTGGGGGCTGGACTGCAGTGCCCCCTCCTCTACCTTATGGCCTGCAGCCAAAGAAGGAATATAAACCTGAGGTCCAGCTCAAGAGAGCCAACTGGAGCAAGGTTTGTTTCTGTTTGTGAAATCTCAGAATCACAAAGTGAGGGTTTTAGTCCCAAGTCAAAAAAAGATGTGCATCGTTTCAAAGGAGTCTGTTTGACCCTAGGCCCCTTCTGAGTTAGGGTGTAGTATGTGATTAAAACCTAATGCCAGCATTCCTACAGTGTATTACATGTTATTATACTGATGTTGTGCACACATTGCAGTGAGGTTCTGACCTAAAATGTCTTGTGTGCATACGTGTATCTTATGATGATGTGCCTGCTCTCCTCCTCTCATCTGTGATGGTTTAAACATCAAAACGATCTCTGTCTTTCTTTAGCCTAAAGCTACTGTTTAATGGTTCCAGCAGACTTCATCAGCGTTTAGCTTCTCCCTCCTGCTTGCGCTTGGGCTGGTGCTGAACGGGTGCGAGTGTTTGACGAGGATGTCACTGAAATTGCTTTTTAATAAGCCTTCTTCTGTTAACTGTGCCACTGAAAGATAATTAAATTGCTGCTCGAAAGGACAGTATTCTTTTGTAATTCAAATGAAGTTTTTCAAGCTTGGTTTTATCTTTTATTTTTATGAGCTCAGACACAGACTTTCTGCTGCTTCAGTTCAGACCCATATCACATTTCCCTTCACGGCTGCTTCTGTCCTGCCTCCCTTCCCTGAGGCTTTGTATGGAATAAATTCTGAAAATCTGTACATTTACCACACTATGTTCTAGCCTTCTCCTTTTCCTTTTGATGAAGGCAATCAAAGGAAAGACAACCTGTTAATTGCATCTCACTGTCCCATATTATTAAAAGATAATCTAAAAAAATACAAATGGAGCTGAGAGTAAGACTACAGGAAGGAAGAAAATAACTTGATTTTCTTTAAAGCTTTAAACAAATGCTTGTGTGAAGGAAAAAAAGGGCTAAAATTAGAGAAAATGACTACTTGTTTGCCCAAGTCCCTATTATTGTGCTGTCTCGCTGTCCGGCTCTTAAAACCAATAAGTGTAGCTGATTGTCTCTTTATCACACAATGGCCATCATTTGTTTGCCATAATAGATTAATGAATGCCGTTTTCCTTCTCTGGTCTTTGTTCTCAGATTGGACCAGAGGACCTCTGCGAAAACAGCTTCTGGACAAAAGCAAAAGAGGATCAGTTTGAAAACAATGAGCTTTTTGCCAAACTCACCTTGACCTTCTCCTCACAAACAAAGAGTATGTATTTGCCAACTATAGAAATATTATCTGGTATGTTTTGTTTTTCCACTAACAATGTCTTTATTGCATGTTTTCTGTTTTTCCCTTTGCTTTCACCAGCCACCAAAGGTAAGAATGCAATACACAAATATTTATATCAATATTTTCAGAGATTGTACCCTTCACTGTTTAGAGGACATGCATTATTCAGCATCAGCATTAAAAACAGCCTCTCATTCTGTGTTATGAATAAACCAGCTACACCTGTGTTTGCACTCATCTTTGTTTAAATGTGGGCTGGACCACATCAGATCAGATCAGATGGGACGAGTAGGGACTTAGGGGCGGAGTGAGATGGACAAAGAAAGGAGACTAGAGGGAGGATAAGGAGAAGGTCACTGATGTCGTCTGACCATCCACCTGCTGTTGTCCTGGAACAAAGTGCTGACACACAAACACACCTGTCCACTCCTGTCACCTTGTCCCAGTGTCACTGTGCCTTCTGCTCCCCCTCCTCCATATTCATATCAGAACCAGGAAGTCACGGACCGACAGCGGCCGGGGTGGAGGTAATTCTATTTGACCTTCACCGTCAGCCTTGGTCCACGTGCGCATACACTCACGCCATTCTGCATAAACGCAAGTGCACGTGCGGTATGGAGGATGCTTGCTGTTGATGCAAGTTAAATGTCAGTGTTGGCAGCTCCCCTCTTGGCATTCACCTGGATGGCAGTTGTAACGTATGCCTGTCGGTGCTTAATTTACCCTCTCACCGTTCTTGGCCTATGCTCCAGTGCATTGGCTTTTTATTGGCAAAGACAGGCACATGTTCTGGTTGATGTCCAATAACCTTTCCTCCGAGCACGCTATGAAGACACTATGGCCTTTTTATTTTCCCCACCTGTCGAGATGTCTGACATTCTGAATAAATGGAAATCATATTCATTGTTAGAGACACCAGCTGCTTTGTGCGCCTTTCCAATAGGACTTAGACTCTCCAGAATAGATGATGACACATTTGTGCTATGGTCAATATACTGTAAGATGGTTTAGTCTTAATATTTGGACTGGCAAATTCTTGTTAGATTTGCACCATACTACTGAGCAAAACTACTTGGTAAAACAATTCATGACTGATTGCATACCTTTTAATGTAATATTTAGATATGCAAATAATCTAAACTCTCTTCCATAATTACAATATATCAAACCATGTGCTAGTCAACCTGACATTAAACCTATTTAATGTAACCAGCTTCAGCTGCATCTCAGTGACAATTTTTTTATGAATCCCTGAGATTGGTTTTATGATTTTAAATGTTAATTCAGGTTAAATTTTTTGTAGTTTTTATCATTTCATTTCTTATGTTTGGGTGACGTCAGTTGCTCACGTAGTAGACCCCTGCTCCTGGACCTAGAACCATTCCCGGGGCATAGAAACACAGGGAGCCATTAACCCAAGCTGTGTGCAAGTGCTCCCTATCGACCCAGTCTGGGTACCCAGGGTAAGCCAAACGTGACTCATCAATCCTTAAAAATCTCACATACAGGGTCCTGTTTCTTCTTTGTTTATGCTCATCATGTTGCTGCCTCCACTTGTTACCAGCAAAGGCACAATGATGCCACATTGCAGCACCACTGAGCCTCTTTGACCTCCACTCTCCCCTTCTCTCTCTGCCTCTCTCACTCTTTCGCTCTCTCGCTCGCTCTCGCTCTCGCTGTCTCTCGCTGTCTCTTGCTCTCTTGCTCTCTCCCTCTCCCCCTCTCCCTCTTTCTCTCTCCCCCTCACTTTCCCTCTCTGCCTTCAGCTCAGGCTCAGTGCACAGTGTTCACTCCTACATGCTGAAACAAATGTGCACAAGGTCATTGAGCCCAGGGCAGGGGCAGGGGTCATGACCTCTTGGCTCATGTGGAAGAGCAGAGCAATGATCGTGAGAGACACACAACCTCCCTCCCTCTAGCTAGCTCCACATCACCACTCTACCCAAATCTCAATGCATGTAAATATTAACTTGCTGTTCATGAGCTTGTGCCATAATTGTCTTTTTTTTCTCTCTCTCTCTTTTGAATCAGGTTTGACTTTTTTCAGACTTGAAGCTCCTTTATAAATCTGTGTCACTCTGTAGGAGTAACACAAATTATCATGGGTCCTGAAGCTGTGTATTTTATCATAAGATCAATTCAAACACAGTTCATTGTTTGGAGTTCTTTTGATTAGGTTTACGTTTACGTTCACTTACTGTGCTCAATAGTTGTCTTGTGTCTTACACAAGTCTTACTCTGAATCAGTCCATGATTGAAAAAAGGGGGAGAGTGGAAAAGGCATGAACAGAGCGATGTCTGAGTTTTGGACAACTGATGTGATCTGATGAAAAAAGCTACAATGTTATCATAATGGTATAGAACTTCGTGTTAATTGTAGGTCTGTATGTCTTTAGTCGTTGAGTCGATTAATTGGTCGATGATATCTTTGTCAACCAAAATTTGTAGTGGTCATCTAATCTTTTTATGTAGGTTATAAAGAGTTATATGGGACAACAGCAGAAAGGAGTTAGTTAGTAAGTTGGCTGAAGATTTTGTGTTTTCAGTATATGTAAAAAGCTGATTAAAATTCACAAGTTTAATCTCTTTATTCAAATACATTGTTTCTAGTACTTTTCTTTCTGCATATATTGCTGTTTTTAAAATTTCCATGCAGGTGTAGTCTTATGAGAGCGGTTTGGGTCGGATACAGAAATGTATAGTTCTCAAAGCTTATGTTGCGCCCCCTTTTTAATTAATTCATCGATCGGCAGGACATGTCTTTAATTGAGCAAGAATTTTTGTTTCCTATAGCCTTTATTAGTTTATTTAATGAGACGGGGACAGTGCACAATCTACATTAACCTTAACAGGAGAGATACGTTGTACCAGGTTGTGGCACCAGTGCTGATTTTCACCTGTAGTCCCTGTGTAGGTTAATTGATTAATTGACCTTAGCTATCAGCTGTTCTTCCTGGACACCTATGTGGCATGTTTTGGGTAGCCCTAGTTAATAGTGTCTCTGCACAGTTTTTGATTTACAGTAATTCAAAGAGAGATACATTATTTTGCCATGTGACCAGTGCTTTGCTGCTTTGCATATTTGCATATCAATCACAGGAGTTATATTGTTGATAAATATTTGTTAGTTGACTTGCGTTGCTTTAGTATATGCTTGCAAAGGAGTGGGTGGGGGCGCACAACCACATTTACAAACCAATTATAATAAGCCTTTTGATCTCCCTGTGTTTCAAACAAATCAATTTCCTTCTCTGTAGGTGTGTGCATATCTCACTGTTTCCACTTAGCTTTATTATTCTCTCTTTAATGAGCAGCCGCTTTACAAGGAAACGACATACTGTGGTGTGTGGGGGTGTTCACATTCCTTTAGCTTGCTTTAAAGTCTGCATTCAAATCAGTTTGTGATTAGATGAAATGTATTTATGTTCTTGAACAAATGTCTAAGCCACATAGGTCCATGAAATAATAATAAAATATTTGGTAATGATTCACTCTATTGTTTGTTAGCTTTGCCCATTTCAACAGAAACCTTGTCCTCTGTGCATCTAAGGGTCATTAAATAATAGATTTGGTTGCATTTATGGTTCAGTGACATGGTTATAGTTATTCTGAGGTCTTCAATATTTGAGACATTTTTCACCCTTTTTATCCCACATTCTGTCTGTATTTTGTCAGAGCCAAGCTAAAAAGTGTGTTGGTGTTTGATGGTGATAATTACAGTTTTTGATTCCAGTTCATACAGTGTGTTGTCTCAGATCTTCAGTCTTAAGAGACTTTTGAAAATCTGGACTAATAAAGCACTTAGAAGACTAAATGAAAGATGGATATTAAGACTCACAAGTGTGTGTACTCCAGAGATGGGTCTAAATTGGCTGTGTCTTCAAAAGCTTGTGTATAGTAATATTTCTGAAGATCCTTTGCAAGGCTGTGTGTATATGTTTTCTTTTGTGCAGTCCACAGTAGAAATCCTTGTAAATAAATAATGTGCTGTTCTGGCTGGGTCTGCCGAAAGAGACTTGGGTTAATGTAAGGGTCACTAATGCTGTGGAAAGAGCGAGGGGAAAAAATATCAGTTCTTTTATTTCTATTCTTGCTTCTCCATTTCATGGCTGGAAGCAAACATTTTCCATGTGTAACTCTCTTAATGACTCAAGGCTGGAGGTCTGTGCTTTGTGGTCTCTCCGAAATACAAACAGTACTTTCACTCACCTCCCACTTTGAAAAGGAGGACTAAAATGTAAATAATTATTCTCATGTCTAGTTTGTGTCATATAAGTCTTCATGTTTTACAGGGCTTTCAGCAAACTCTTCAGCCTGCAGCATTAGTAATGAAAGGGGCCATAGCTGTGTGTGAGCTAAAGCTGTAACCATCACACTGTGCTAGCTAGTACAGCTTTACCTCATTCCCTCTCTTTATGTTTGCGAAACAGCCACAAAACAGCCTTCATTCATCAGGTCTTATCAGGTTCAAACACCTCGATGGGTGCACGTGTCTGCTCTCACCGCCAAGAGCAGCGCGCCGACTCTGGATTCACAGAAAACACCTCTGAATGCACACACGCGCTTTGTCCTGCTCATTCTTTCCATCCCATTCCTCCCTCGTTACATCTCTGTTTTACATGCAAATGAGCCAAGTGTAGTCAAGCCCGAGTGTTACCACAGTGTGTGCCTAATCTCCTTGCTGCCTTTTCTCTTTCCTGGAGATTATCCTGTTTTTAAACGAAAAAGGGCCTTCTTCGCTTCACTCGGTTTCAAATCTCAGCCAGCTGTTGGTTCGTGTTGCCCGCCAACATTCCAACGTCTCATCCCGAAACCATTACCATTTAAATGTTCCTAGTGATATGACATCTGAGCGAGGCCCGGCAGCAGCTGTGCCTGTGCATGAATGCCATCAAAGCGAGTGTATGTTTAATTGAGGATTTGTTGATCAAATTAGAATTCTTACCGTTTTGTGAATATGTCTGTTTTAAAATTAT